AGACTTTGCTGGTATCTCAAATCAAGGCAGTAACACCCCGAGAGGGGGGCGGACGTACGTACGAAGTATACCTGTGCCGGTACGTACGTTACTACGATCATTTTTAGCACTCGCACTCGATGCAGCATCGTAGTAACATTACCCAAACATGCAGGGAGGTATGCAGGTACCTCTGTAGGTACGTAGGCACGTATGTATGTATGTATGTATGTATGTATGTATGTATGTATGTATGTATTCATGTATGCATGTATGTATGTATGTATGTATGTATGTATGTATGTATGTATGTATGCCGGCATGTGACCAGTTTTTCTGCGGAGGGGGCGGTGTAAGACGTACGTATGCATGTCATACGTATACGGACAGGTACATCCGTACGGTTCGTACGTATACGGTAGCAGAGGTATGCAAGTGTTACATACGTACGTACGTACGTACGTACGTGTGTGTGTGTGTATGTATGTATGTATGTATGTATGTATGTATGTATGTATGTATGTGCGTACCTATGTATGTATGTATGTATGTACGTATGTATGTTTGTACGAAGGTACGTATGTATGCATGTATGCATGTATGCATGTATGTAAAGTAAAGGTATGTATAAGTATGTCTAGGTAATTATGCATCATGATCATGCATGTCTTTACGTAAGTACGTGCGCACGCATAAATGTCGGGGCGCAGGTAAGTAAACATCTACATAGTGCAGATTAAAATTTATGCGACGCAAGGGGCGGTACGTACGTCAGCAGACGCATGGCGTTATGTAAATATGTATTAAGTATGTATGTATGTATGCATGAATGAAGATACGTATGCATGCGCGGATTCAGGTCAGGTAACTGGGTATGCATGTATGTATGCATGCTTGCATGCATGCATGCATGCATGCATGCATGCATGTATAATCATGTATATGTGTGTGTGTGTATGTGTGTACGTATGTTTGCATGCATTTATGCAGGTACGTCTGTACGTCCGGGTGCAGGTCAGCAAGTATGTACGTACGCAGAAACTGCCGATCAATGGGCGTGACCTATGCGCGTACGTTCGGGGGCGGCAGTACATATGCAAATACGTATGTACGTATGCATGTATGTATGTATGTATGTATGTATGTAAGTATGTATGTATGTATGTACGTACAGGTAGGTAGGTAGGTAGGTAGGTAGGTAGGTAGGTAGGTAGGTAGGTAGGCAGGTAGGTAGGTAGGTGGGTAGCAAGATATAGCCGCCTACGTGCTATTCCACGGCAAACTCCGCCCTGCCCTTCAAAACCTGCCCCAATCTCGCGGATTTGGAGGTCGAGGAGTTTCGGGCCTTCGTGGCAAAGCGTTCAGGGTCGCACGGAGTTCTATTTTTGGTTCCAAATTGGGTTCCCACATGGGTAGTTCTCTAAAATAGGGTCCCTGTTTAGGTCCCCAATCTAGTACGGCACCCTTATAAAAAGGACCCCTAAAAGGGACCCTAGTTTAGAGAACTACCCATATGGGTGGTTCCTATGGGAGTTTGAAGGGGTTGGGGTGAGGGTTTCAGAAGATGTTGGGGTGTAGGCTTGAGAAGTTCCGGCTTAAACCCTAAACCCTAAACCCTAAGCTTCGGGTGTAGCGCTTGCGGATTGAGGCTTAAGGGTTGCGAGGCTCGGGTGAAGAGGCTGAAGGTTTGGGGATCAAAGTTTAGGAATTCGTAAGGCTTTGTGGCTTCGGGTTAAGGGTTTAGGGTTTAGTCTAGGACATCTTCAGGTGGGTAGTTACGGTTATAGGAGCCTTATAGAAGGTCGATAGACCTGGTAGACTCCCCACCTTTTCCTTTAATTTAGGGTGCATCTTTCATGTGGGTAGTTCTCTAAATTAGGGGTCCCTTTTTAGGTCCTCAGTATAGTACGGCACCCTTATAAAAGGACGGTAAAAGGGACCCTAATTTAGAGAACTACTCATGTCAGGGTTCGTATACCTAAACCCTAAACCCTAAACCCTAAACCCTAAAAGGGTTTGTATATCCGGTGGTGGCTGACGCCCAGGTCCTCGTGGACGTCCGGTGCAAGGAGGACTCGATCTCGACCTCTGCTTTAGGGTTTTTGGGGTTTAGGGTTTAGGGTTTAGGGTTATATATGATACTATAACTATAACAGCGAACCATAAGGAATAGGGTCTGGAGTACTGATCTTGTAGCTCAAGGTTTCTGTATTCATATGGGCAGTTCTACTAATTTAGGGTCCCTTTTAGGGGTCCTTTTTATAATGGTGCCGTACTATATTGGGGACCTAAAAAGGGACCCTAATTTAGAGAACTGCCCAGATGGTTTGATCGTGCAGCGCTTTTGTGTTGATAGGCTTTCCTATGGGTTTCGTGTTTCTGATGAGGTAAAGGATATTTATCAGGATTGAGACTGACTGTGCCTTTAGTCCCCAAAAACCTTAAAGCACGAAGCCCGCAACGAAGTCCTCCACCCTGGCAGGAGATGGATGTGTCCATGATACCCGGCTCCGTGACGAAGGCGACGGATGGGCAAAGCTTCGGGTCATGCGAAGGGGTGTTTTCACTCACGACTTTCGCCAGTTCAATCACAGTGTAGTGTTTGCCTTGCGGGTTGGCCTCAGGGTTTTAGTAGAAGTCATTGGTGAAACATGCTGAACTTGGTAGCGGAAGGGGGTCATGACAACCAGACAGAAACGTGCGCTGATGCTTCGCGCGCTAGCGCATCAACGGCTCAGAAAGCCCAGACTTTCACCACAGGTGCTTTGAGCCATCGGCTTCAGCAGTTTTGCAATGGAAGTTGATCGCTCATGCTAGTGTCATGGTCGCTTCCAGGAGAAGGCGACTGCTAACAGTCCTGACTGTTCTGGCGGTTGTTGTGCTTTCGACGTGTTCTTCTCCGGTCAACTTTGCCCTTCGGGGACAAGGCAATGTACGGTCGCTTCGCAAGCGCGACGGGCTTGAGCTGCACACGAAAGCTTCCCACAAGAATTCTGTGCTGAGCCGGGAAGGAAGAGATGTGCTCGAAAGCATTCAGCTGGCTCGTGGAGCTGGGGACTGGATCAAAGTGAAGTCTTTGTATGCGTCTTATGCTGGCACCGGCACCGAAATTCAGATTTTCAACGCGGTCTTGCATACAGCCGTAGAGTGTGTGCAATACAAGGAAGGCGCCGATATCTTTGATAGCTTATACAAGTTAGATATCACGAAGACATCGGCCACCTATTCAGCAGCTCTCAAGATTTTTGCAAAGTTGGGGCACAATGCGACGGTCAAAGAGCTTTGGGAAGAAGCTCGAAACAATCCGGCATGTGACATGAATGAGCCTTTGACAGCTGCGCGCATAGATGCTGCTGCCGAAGAAGGGGATGTTGAATCAGCTCTTTTGGTGTTGAGTAACATGACCCAGACAAACGTCAGCATCAATATCGCTCACGTCACGAATGCCATCCGTGCCTGCTGGGCCGCCGGAGGTGTCAAGTACAGGACAGCTGAACACCTGTTTAACTTGACCGCCACACTAGGACTGGAACCCAACATCGTGACCTTTTCTTGCCTGGTAGGGGCTTACGGTGTTGCACCGCTGGAGAAAGCCCTAGCTGCATATGCAGACATGCGAAGCATGGGGATTGAGCCCAATCCACCATTCGCAGACGCTTACCTGGGTGCCATTCTACAGAAGCCTCGGGCACACAGCTGGCAGCCAGCGGAGATCATGGATGCGCTTCAGCTACTCCAGGAGGAAGCCCCAAACCGCATTGAAGCCGCCAAGCTTGCCTTGAGTGAGTTCAAAGGCCTCGGTCTCGAGCTCACCGACTTAGCACGGCGTATAGACGGAGCACTCCGAAAGTTGGATTCCTAAACCCTGTAAATCCAGACCAAGACTGACCGTAGTAGTTCATTCCATAATCAGTTGGAAGCTTTCAGGTTAATATAAGGGCCTTAACAATCAGAATCGGGTTTTCTTGGTTCCTTATTACAATTATAGGATAATAAGCCACAAAACCCAGTCTAATTATTCAGGCCCCTACATTACTTCACAGTCTCCAAAGCTGCAGAAGCTCGCACGCGAACCCAAGACACCATGCACTCCACGTCAGCCGAACCAAGCTGGGGTGGATGATGCAGAGTGTACTCATTGCGTAGTGATGTAGTGCCTGTTTTTTAAAGACTTTTTGACGTGCAGCAAGATGGCACCAGGATCCAGAATTGTGGTGCAGCTGGTTCACCTGGTGCGCTTCATGCCTAGCCGCCTCTAAACGATCATAACGACAAATGCCCTTCATCGCCAAATAAATACAGGCCTGTAAAACCTTAGCAAACCCCATCGAATTTCACCTATCCGCTGTATCTCCGTATGACAACCTTACCAACCCCATCAAGATCACACATCCTTGCAAAACCTGCCCTCAAACAAAAACAGATTCCGTAAATACTAGGATGCTTTATAAGCTACAGTGCGCCTCTAAGAGAGGATAGGATCCTAGGATCTTCAGAACAGCCCTAAACTTTAATATCCTAAACCCTAAAGGTTCTGATATCAGGGCCCTTCCTTTCGAGATTGGAGTCAGCCATGCCTCGCTTTGCACACCCCGGACCCACACCCTGTCAGATCACGGTTTAGGGTTTAGGGTT